TACAAATAAGTGTGGAATTTCGATATCGCCCAAACAAGCGCAAGACATTCTCTCTCAATAGCCGAAAAGGCACGCTCACGAGGCAGTAATTTCCTACTTGCATAGCAGACAGGATGATTTAGGCCATCTCGGTTCTGCATGAGAACTGCGCCAATTCCCACGTCCGACGCATCTGTTGCGAGAATGAACGGCTTTTGCGTATCGGGGAGAATCAAAATAGGTTCTGATTCCAACCGCGACTTGAGCGTCTTAAATGCCTGTTCTTGCACTGACTGCCATTTAACCACATTAGGTGCACCCTTTCTCGTGAGATCAGTAAGGGGTGCTGCAATTGCCGCAAAGTTGGGGACAAATCTTCGATAGTAACTTATCAACCCAACAAAGGATCTTACCTCCTTCTTGGTCAATGGTCTGACAGCATTGATGATTTGCTGGATTTTTTCTGGCCGAGGTTTCACTGTCCCTCTGCCCACCACGTGACCTAGAAATTCAAGAGACTCAAAAGCTACGAAACATTTAGAAGGTCTGGCTGTTAGCCCTGCCCTTCTCACTCTCTGTAGAACCTCCCTCAGGCGCTCTGTGTGTTCTTCCCAAGTCTCTGTAAAGATCAAAATGTCGTCAATGTAATTAATTACATGATCAAGTCCACTCAACAGTTTGCGCATCATCCTAGAAAAAACGGCCGGGGCATTGACCATCCCGAAGGGTAGTACTTTGAAGTGGTACAGGCCCTCCGCTGTGACAAAAGCAGTTTTCTGCTTGTCTTCATCTGCAATGGGAATTTGCCAATAACCCTTTGACAAATCTAACTTGGAGAAATATCTGCCTTGTCCAAGCTGGGCCATCAAACTCTCAGCATTTGGGATCGGCTCGGGGTCAAACACTGTGACGGCATTTAGCTTCCTGAAATCAATACAAAAGCGATTAGTTCCATCTGGTTTTCTTACTAAGACAATAGGAGATGCATATGAAGATTCAGAACGTTCAATCACTCCCAAACTCACCATATCTTCAATTTCCTTCTTGATGACTTCCTGAGTAGCTAGGGGTGTAGGATATGGTTTGGACCTGATAGGAAGATCCGTTGTGAGGTGAATGGTATGTTGGATAAGATTCGTCTTACCTGGAAGATCGGTGAATACACTGTCAAATTCCTGCAAGATGTCAACAACTTCTTGGCGCTGGTCTTCCTTTAGGGCCTCTCCTGTCTTGACATCTTTCCTACTTTCCTTTGCCTCGACTGGAGGAAGGACAACTTCCACAATCTCATCCATCTCCTCGGAATCCTCTACCACGAACCCAACTCCTGCCATATCAATAGCCCCCATGGCTGTGACACTATTTTCATTGCCACGGTCAACATACAACTTCAATAAATTTGCATGATAGGTTTTCTCCTTGCCTGCCACTTCAATGACGTAGTCATGCTTCGCTACCTGTTTAAGTACTGGAAAAGGTCCTGCCCACTGCAGTAGCAACTTATTGTGGTCAGTTGGTCGTAAGAGAAGGACTTTGTCTCCTACCTTAAACCTCCTGTCACTAGACTTGGCATTGTAGTATTTTCTATACCGTTTTGACGCCTTTGCCAACTCCTCTTGAGCCATCTCACAGGTAGACTGCAATCTCTCCCGCAAATCCACAACAAACTGGTATGTCGTCTTTACTTCCTCCTCTACTTGTTCATCTGACCAGATATCCTGCAGAATAGAGAGAGGTCCCTTAACAGATCTTCCATACATCAACTCAAAGGGAGAAAATCCCAAACTCTCTTGGGGTGCCTCTCGATAGGCGAACAATAACGCCGGAAGAAACCTGTCCCAATCCCGTGGTCTTTCAGCACACATCCGTCGCAACATCTTCTTCAACGTGGCATTAAACCTCTCCACAAGACCATTGCACATAGGGTGGTAAGGAGTCGTCGTGAGCTGCTTTATAGCCAGGAGCCTTCCCACTTCTCTCATCACCTCAGACGTGAACTGGGTGCCCATGTCTGTCAAGATCTCCTGTGGAATACCCAATCTAGAGTACACTTCCAACAAGGCCTCGGCCACTCTCTCACTCTCTATTCGAGGTAAAGCCACCGCCTCCGGGTAGCGGGTTGCGTAATCTACCACCACCAAGATATATCTGTTGCCCTGATCAGTTACAGGATGTATGGGACCCACTAAATCAACGGCTATCCGCTTGAAGGGGGTATCGATTAATGGCATCTCACCTAGTGTCGCCCTTCCAACTCTCCCCTTAGAAACCGTCCGCTGACATATGTCGCAAGACCTGCAGTATCTTTGCACATCACCCGAAACACCTGGCCAATAGAAACTTAAGCATAATTTGTCAGCCATCTTCTTGACACCAAGGTGACCTGCGAGGGGTGAATCATGAGCAAGTGACAACACTTTATCCCTATACTTTTGGGGAACCACCAGCTGTCTTATAACTCTTCCCTTTTCAACTTTGGGAGACTGGAATTCCCTGTAAAGCAAACCTTTGTGTTTCACATATTTTGACACATTAGCCTTACCAGTCACACGTGCGGGATCATCATCATCAACATGCTTCCACAATTTTATTAGAGTCGGGTCTTCCTGCTGAGCCAATAATATCTCATCTCTGGACACTGACTTCTCATCAGACTCTGCAACAAGCAACGGCTTGAAAGACTTCTCTTTCTTGGCTTTCATACCCCGAGTCTCCACAGCTCCACCTGGTTTCTCTTCTGTCCTAGGAAGTACCGGCACTTCTGTCACGCTCTGGGTTGCAAGAGGATGTCTTGATTCATCCGGACGGTGTGGTTCTCTCGCTCCTGAGACATTACCGATAATCAAGTCATACAAAGGATTATCCATGCAGAGAGCCTCAACCTTTCCTACAAAAAATGGAGTATCCACATCTATACTGGCCACCGGTACCCTTCGCACCGTACCATCTAACAGAATACAAGGCTGAATACGACCTGTCAACTTGTCTTCCTCTACAATATCCCTACGAACAACAACAGTGCTACATCCAGTATCTCTGAGGACTGTAACAGGTAACTTACCAACTACACCTTTTCTCACTGGCATTGATGGTTCAATAGTACAAGCAGCACTGATGAAGGGGAATGCTTTGTCACCAGTCACCTCTGCACATCTCGCTGGAACTTCCGGCGACACCTCCAGGCACGCAGCTCCAGTCTGTGATGATTTCTTTTCTTCCAATTCAACTTTCATACCTGCAGCTTGATTCGGTTTACTTGTCTGCTGAGTATTAGTAGGATTTGTCTTACAGTACTGCGCAATGTGACCACTCTTCCCACATTTATAACATCGTCTATTCATCTGAGAACTTCCTACTGGGTTCGTGCTTGGTTTTGGATTAACCTTGGGCAAAGGGGGAGTGGATCGGTAATAAGATTTAGGTCTCACCTGCTCTGGTTTTTTCTTTGGCCACTCGTGTGCTTCTAAGTACTGGTCAGCAATCTGAGTTAGGGTTTTTAGGTCCTTTGGCTTGCGTTCCTTCAAAAACAGGGCTAGATCTTTATCAGCAGCTTCTATAATCTGTTCAGACACAAACAAATCTATGACAGAGTTATAACACTTTTCCACGTCTGCCAACTCAATCCAACGTTCAGCATATCCCCTGAGTCGATCACCAAACTGAACATACCGTTCCCCTGTCTCTCTTGTTGCCGTTCTGAATTTCCGTCGGAATCCCTCGTCCGTCAACCTAAATCTATTCAAAAGAGCTTTCTTTATTTCAGAGAAATCTCTCGCCTTTTCAGCAGGCAACCTCGAGTATACCTCTAATGCTTTACCTTTGAGTAGGGCACTGAGTGCCATACCCCATTCACCTTCTGGCCATTCATTGAGTTCTGCGAATTGTTCAAACCTTCTTAAATAAGCATCTAAATCATCTGTTTGTTCATTGAACACGGGCAGCTTTGGAATCTTTGCACTATGAGATGATCTAAAAGTACTCTGTGCATTTGGGGAAGATCCTCCGTTGGCATGTTCCTGTTCTATACGCAACTCATATGCCTTCATTTCCTTTTCATGATCTCTTACCTTCTGTCTCTCTTCCCGCTCAATTCTCCGGTCTTCTCTCTCCAAATGTTCACGCCGCTGTTTTTCCTGAGCTGCCTCTCGTTCTTGAGCAAACCTAACTAAATCCAAACCTTCCAAGCCAATCTCCTGCCCAAGCTTCAAGAACTTTTCGAACTCCATCTCAATCTGAAACATGGAAATGGTTAGTAACAAAACACACAAACTTTGTACAAACATGGGCGATGCCACAACTAACATTCGTGCAATTGCTGCATAAGCTGAGGCAACAAGATCAGAGTTCGCGCTGCGAATCGACCCTAACACGAAAATGCCAACACCTACTTTCTCGAAAATTTATAAAAAAAAAAACAGGTAAGATGCGAAATCGACAGAGAATGTCTGTAACTCCAAATCTCTAATCACTCATGTGACACTGGAACAATGTCCAACTGATTGTCAACCAATTTTGCGCAATCACACTTTGTAGGGAATGCAAGGGTGAGGGGACCTATATCCCTCCTGGAGACAGATACTACTGTTAACCCAAAGTACAGTTTCTAATCTCCATTTGGCTGCATCCAATCTACAAACTAATAAATCATGAAGTGATTCCTACACTACCTGCTGATATAAAGACTTTACTATTTCAAAGTATCCGTTCTTTTTCCCGGACGGGCCCCCAATT